ACTTGAAGTGCACCAACACGAATGTGGACATGTGGGACAGTGTACATGTAGCTAATCAATCATCACCTAGTATGCACACATCATATGCTGAGAGCCAGAAGGGCTTTACCTCTGTAATACAGGCGAGGAGTTAACACCCTTCTCGCTCGAAGCAGACAGTATTGTTGGGTCTCTACAGAGTCTACACTAACAGGCGCACAATGCATATATGGGATCTCGAATTTGGTCTCTGGACCCCAAAATTTGAGAAAAGTTTAACAAGAGACCCTCTTTAGTACAAAGACACTAAGATTCGAACCAGACCCAGAGTAAAAAAGGTCAGTGTTGAACCCTAGCAACCACTTATAATTAGTAATGAAAATTTTCAAAATTCGATATTGCCGTTTTAATTACTGTACCTAAGCATTATGTTTTTCATCAATTCTTTCAACAAAATATTGTGATGGCTCAGTGGTAGATCAGTGGTCTCCTAAAACAGGGGGGTCCCAGGTTCTAAACCAATTTGATACACTAGTGCCCTTTGGTAAGGCATTAAGGCATTGATCCTCATTACCAAGTCCCTTAGGGAGGACTTAAAGCCGTTGGTCCCCTGGTTGCTTACAATATACACATGCTTTCTTTAATTAGCAGTCAGGTAAAACAAACAAACAAACAAACAAATATCACATGTACACGTACATGTACTTCTGTTTTGTTTCGGTTATTATTTTTGTTTTGTTGGTGTACATTCTAAATCCATTTAGTGCCATGGAAGTTCTAATCCTCATTGTAACATATCTGGATAGAAAACAACCCTCACCAAGCTGTACATGTACGTCTGTCAAGAGTAAACAGCTGAAACATGTGCATACATACTGTTCCCCCCACATGATCTATAAATAGCCCAACATGGCAAGGGGTTGAATGAGATCATACATGTGTAATCATGTCGTCTATTGACTGACTGAACATGCATGGGGAGGAACTCTCGGAAAGCTGCGCAAAAGTAAAGGGGGAAGTAGCATGATCACTGTCATCCTGATACGATCTACATCAGTACGTTCTACATGTACATGTATATGTAACCGAGGAACTGAGTCGAAGATTATAATATTAAGCCTCAGACAGACGAGTTTTCCAACCAGAAGGCTCTGAATATCCCATCAAATGTTAGCCTGATATCGATAGGAAAGGGCTCAACTCTACCTCTACTTGCCTGACTAGTGACTAAACCAGTGTTTTGGGTTGAAATAAGAGGTAATCCAAGATTTGCTTCCAGTTTTAATTTAGTTATTCAAAGATAGAGGATTAGGATTTAGGAATAAGGATTTGAACTGGGTTTCAGGTTAGGTTTATTGTTTCCTAGGGCACTTGTCCTGTCCCAGGGTAGAAGTGAGGAGTTTGGATAATGTTCATCTAGAATATTCAATGCTGAGTGGGGGGGGGGGGGGGGGGAGGGCAAGGGTTCCTGGAAAATGTACCGTAGAACAAAAAGAAAAAGTAAAGTTTGCAGTGGTGTGATTTAGAGCTCGAATGCCCAGACAGGAATTACAAGAAGTTTGCCGATTGTCACATTGATTTAGCATTGATGTGGGGGATGTTATGATTCAGCACCATGTCTTTGTTGTCAACTCTTCCTGCCTTATACAAGTATTGGACACATCAGCCTTTTTTATGTGAATTTGTTTGGACCTTGTTTTCTTTTATTTATTTGCCTGCTTGATGCATATTAACTTAAGTCTTCTTTTTTCTTTTTTTCTTTTTTCCCCCCTTTTTTTTTGTTGGGGGGCAACATTATGTACTTACATGTATTTCATTAATGTGAAATTTACTTGTCATTAATTTTCCAAATCTACATACAGTAGTAGACCTTGAGTGTACATCATGGCTTGATACTTACAGTGGCATGTACAAATGTAGTTCAGCCCCCACCAAAAAAAAAAAAAAAAAAAAAAAAAAATAGCCCCCACCCCACCCCTCCTTTAAATTTTAAATTCATACCCCCTTAAAAAATAAAAATGGGGAGGCCTTCCTTGATGTAATATAACGTTTACTATCATATTAAAATGATATGCATACTTTTTATACAAAAGTTATTTTTGACAATCTGAAGGCATGCCTGACATAGCACAAAATAATATATGAGCAGACTTGATTCCAAGTATTTTAGTCCATTCATTTAATAACAGGTTAATGGAATACCTCGTCACTAGGTCGCCAGGAAAAACAACATCCATAAATTTGAATGTTAGTATCAAACCCATCCATAAGTCATGGAAACTAGTTGATAAAAACTCTTCCACACTTTTCAAGCACATCACCACCTTGGTTCTTCCATGTACAGTAATTATATAAACGGCACAAACATGTACATACTATATGCAGGCCCCCATTTGATGAAAATGAAAGTGAATTCAATAGGTTAATGTAATCAGCAGAGGACTGATAATCCTGAAATCAGATACAGACTATCTCGGTTCCTCAGATTTAGTCTGCTTAACCTAGATCAGCCTTACGCGTAGAGCTCTTTAGGATACCCAAGTCTAAAATATCAATCCCTGCACATGGATAGAAAAATGTATGATCTGCCAGTGTAAAAAAGGATGTTCACTAGAGCTACATGTATATTTGGAGTTCCATCACTTTAAGTAAAATTAAATTGTTGTATTTGATATTAGGGGCCGACACATTCAAGAGTATTCTACTGTTTTCCTGTTGGCTCCCTCCACAATAATATAATAAATGTAATTTTTGTTTATATCTTGTTGTAATTTGTTTCCTCATCTGAAATCATTGATGCCATTTACAACACTTTGTCGCACAACAAAAACATGTTTACTCCTAAGTATTTATATTCATCAACTATTGTTTTTCAGAGATCAATAAAATTGCACAGAGCTATTAAAAATTTGCTGGAAACGCATATCACTATGGAAACAACGTGTACGCTACGGAAAAGAGTGCCTGCACTCTGTTTGACTTTTGTAATGTTTTGTTCCATCTCAAAGGATACCACTTGCAGGGAGTTGCAGCTACATTTTATCTCTGCACTTAATAGATTTTTAGGATAATTAAAAGTGGTTCTAAAAGCATTTACTGTATTCATCTATTACACTGATATAAAAGCTAATAAAAGAAACAACATTTTTAAAACAATATAATTATCCTTAATCACATGTAACGTACATGAAGATGAGTATCTTCTGGTTGCATTCAATTTAAAACAAAATCAAACATGAATTTAACTACAGTGAGACAACAAAAATGTGGTGATTGTGGGCAGGTGGTCTTTAAACTGTACATGGTCAACAGGTTTACATTGTGTACAATGTATACAAATAGATTTCCCATGAAACAAATTATGTGTTCTTTGTACGCAGGTGTCTTTCTACACAGGTGGTTGCTAAATTGTCCTTAATTGTAGAAGAACATACATAAGTAAGCTATTTGTAAGTGATTTCCTAGCTTGAGATGTTGAGAGGGAAAAATCAATTGGATCAGTGATCCTGTGATTGAATTGAAGAAAATGTAATATATTATATTTCAATTAGCAACTGATGGTAACACGTGTGAATGAAAATAAACAAGTAGCACAGCTGGAGCACAATAGCGCCATGTGTTTAATTGCCGGCCAGAGAAAAATCAATTTCTGAGCTTCCAATGCAAATATAGCCAGAGCGAAACAAACAATTCTTTCCAATTTCCTCGTCTTTTTAATCAAGGGCATAGAGTGGTGAAGTGTGACGTCATCAAAAACCTATTGTATGTTTAATTTGTATTTCATTCATTTTCCATAGCCATTAACCCATAGAATGACAGATGAATCAGGGATGATCTTTTATATTCTAGCTGTACATTTTTTCCCCCTCTCATGAAAGGTACCTTCACAGGTAGAATGAACAAATCATATAACTGACAACTTCTCATTGTCCATGCTCGCATGTGTATGCATACTGTATAAACGAAAGAGAAACTCCCAACCCAATACATACAAAACACGGTCACAGTCCACCAATGGACAAGAAGGAGTTCCATTCAAAAACAAAACTAACCACAAAACCTGTCTTCATTAGAAGTTGCAAAATAACCAGCTATTTTGATTTTTTTTTTAGCCCGATCTCAAATTAACCAGCTAATTTGCTTCCTAATCAGCCCGCAGATGCAATTAGCGGAGCTACTTGGTTGAGAAAATATCCCAAGAAATATTGGTCTTGTTTCCAAAATAGCCCGCTATTTGGGAAATTGCAGGCTATAGTTGCTTTATAGGCTCAAGGGGATGCAACATCCCTGAGAGCCCATAAAACAACTATTCCTTGAATATTACAGCAGTCATTATATCTTTTATATACTGTAAAAAAAAAGGTCATAGAATACATGTGCGATGTACTAATCATGGTAATCCAGTTTGTTTACGCTATCGAGGTCTGTGTTGACAACTTGCAGGTAGAACTAATCTTAGGGTGTCTGATCGTGCACTAGATTTTGTGTGCAAAAATCCTTCCCATTGAGATCGCACGCATAAATCCCTATGCAGTCTACCGGTATGTGTATTGCGCGATCATGCAAATTCATATTAAATGCATTTATTTCCAAATCGAGATTCAAACCTCTATTGCTTGTGATCCTGAAGGTGATACTCAAAAAATGAGGTGTCATATGAAAGAGCAGGTTTATCTCCATATAGCGTCATCTCGTCATTATATCATTACAATCGAGACCGGCGGTCATCTGCGCTTTGTTTGTAGTGACCAAATTTAACGCACAAGAAACTGTACGGTAGCCGCACTCCGCACAAACTAAGTTTTATCGCAACTATTTTCCTGGTACCCAGTATCTTGCGGGAATATCACTCATGAACTATTGACCATTACTGGCATTGTTCATCTCTTTAAGGGAATGGCTAAAATCACGACTGCAATTTCGACCAATCAGATGGCTAGATTTCTAAAAGAGAGGTATATAATTGTAACTATGCCCCCCATATTAGGAGTTGATGATTGTATCGTATTCGTCATGCCTACCTTGATCGCTGGCATCGTCAACCAGGATGATCTCCGCTAGGAGGTCGTGAGGTGATCGGTTGATGATACTATGAACGTTCCGCAGGAGGGTGCTCCTCGCTTCGTTGTGGTACACCAAAATAACACTGGTGGTTGGAAGTTTCTTGGGATAAACTTTGTTGGCACAACTGCAACAACACAAGAAACAAAGAAATACATGTAAAAAAAAAAATGTTTTGGGAGATTTTTAGATGCAAACATGTACAGAAAACAGTTGTATTTAGTGGTTGCACATACATGTACGTGTACAATGTACTGTATGTGCCAGGAAGATTATTAAAATAAGCTTTCATTGATGATGACAGAAACCAGATTCTCAGAATCAAGGAAAACTTTTATCCCCGTAAGTGTTAAAAACTACATACAATGTAGAAATTGTATCTGCATTTTAACTATTGTGGCAGAAAATGCTTAATAACCGAGTAAATATTAGTTTAAAGAAAATTCCAAGGGAATACTGCTCAACAATCAACAGAGAGTCTCATACAATTTGTTTTCCATTACATTTGTTGTACACAAGACTATGGCGATTTTCTATTAAAGCTTATCTGCCATAGTTTACAGGAGGATTACACCGCCCTGCAAGGTCACTGGACAGGTGGTTATCTCATCAACTCAGCTCTCAGTTAACATAGGAAAAAGAGGATCATGGGGGACCAATGGTCTCCGATTAGGCATTGTTTGTTATATAGAGGGCGCAAGTAGCTTCAAGTAGTGCAGTGGGCCTTTAACTTCTTTGCTGGTCTAAACATCTACATTATGTACTGTACTAAAGGAAAAACATCCCAGAATTGATTTAAGCTATTTTCTCTTTAAGTGAATTTCTGTACCAGAAGTCAACATCGAATATAAATTCTGAAACACCTCATGAAACTTTAGTTACTGAAATCCAGCATCTTAAATTTTGTTAATTTGGTTAGTACATAAACTGCATCACACGGGATAGTCACAGAAGAAATTGCCAGAATGCATACAATCGAGGAACGAAGGTGAATAATATGTGGTCGTTTGGGAGAGTTCATGTATCTGGGTCGAGTAATTTGTCAGCCGCCCGACCCATCGTCTTACCAATGATAACGATGGACTCGCAAATTGGGGCTGAAATGAATGTGCATCATGGCGCACACCTAACGACCTGGGATCAAGAGAGGTTCACATATGGCTGCAGGTTTCACAAACATTTGCAGTAGAGAGGGATGCTCTGAAAGGGTATCATTAAGCTAACAGGCACAAACCCAAATTGTCAGTTGTCCTGTATAAACACTGTCTGCGCTGCGAGACTATGCAGAGGGAATAGCGCATCTTTGGGCTCTGTACTTTAACTGCTCTACTAGACACGGCCAGAGATTGACAGAGCTAGGCTCTGCAAAAGGCTTTTAGGAATTGTGGTAGTGTTAAATTAGGGTCTGTACTAGCAGACTAGTCATCATCTATCATTCAACCTCCCCCCCCCCCCCCCCCCAAAAAAAAAAGTGTCGAATGAGAAATTGAATATTCACCATAGCCCAATTCCATTTTAACAAAATTTGGCTGTCTGAGATCTACTACCAGGGTTTCAATCTTGATTAATTTTGTCTTTTGCCTCTTGGTCTTCGGAATTACTTTGTAATTCAACACTTTTTCTTTAGGCAATGGCTGTCCCCTATTTGTGTCTAGTATCGAGCAGTGTGTCTATTCAATAAAGCACTCATCATTGAAGGCACAGGCAACAAACATTACGCAAATGTTGTAATTTAAAGGCCTACGGATATTGATATGATCCAGAAAGGTTAAAGATAAGAAATGTCTTTTCTCTGAAATTCATTTAGTTTCATCCAAACTTGTGTCCTTGTACATCTTTCTACTATCATACAAATACATGTACATACATGTATGGTTTCAACTACCTAAACAAGCGACAAAACCCTGATGCAAATTTTGTAATTAAGTGGTCTCTTGGCATTGTTGTGTTGCAGGGTGCTTATAAATAGATATGATATGTCCGCAAGGAAGAATTAAGCCTAATCACTCTACCCACCTGCCAGTGCAATCTCTCTGTCATCATTCAAAAATCGCTTCAAACACCCTTTCAGATATTAAAGCAAAATGTAGCTACTGTACATTTACATGTACAGTGTATACAGAAATACATGATTTTTTTCTTGTCTGAAATTCCTTAACCAACAAAAATTCAAACCGCGAAACGGCTTGACCATTATTTTGAACAAATTTTGTATAAAGAATCTGGTTTTGTTATCTGTATAAACATCTTCTAGTGTTAAAGGGATCGTTTAACAATGTTAAATCTGAGATACACGGTCCTACATGTTATCAGTGTCTGTGATATGGTGTAACGTTGAAGCCCTAAAAAAATCGCGCTTCAAAATGATCAAGAAGTGCATGAAAAAAGTAAAAATCTTTGAGTGACCGGTTATACCATACTCGTTTTCCCCAATAGACTGTAGTGTTATGAAAACCGTCAGGCGAACGGTTTTCAAAATTTGTAATACCAATCATAAATATCTTGATAATCGGACAGGCGATCGGCTTGTAAAAGTCATGGGGTTCCTGACTGACCTAAAGGTTTATAATTATCATTGCATCATGAGCTAAATCCAGAATTTTATTTCAGAATCTGAGACAAAGTTACCGGATCCCTTTAAAGACCCCAGAGCAAACTTACAATGGACTCTGGGCCTAATATCAGGTAATGATCTGTTGAGTACTATTCTATCACTGGCCATCAAATTGAATGCATGGATATGCTATAACTGACCATCTCCCAAAAGAATTTATCTGTGTATGACGTTCCGTTATATTCATACCTTGTGAACAACCCTCTCTCGTAAATGTATGATTTTTTGCATTTAAAAAAAAAAAAAAAAATTAAAGGCTGTCTGTACTAGTTTGGCTAGGAGGGATTAGACCACCCAGGGTGGTCACTGACAGGTGGCTATCTCATCAATTCAGCTCTAAATTTACATAAGAAAAAGAGGATCATGGGGGACCAATGGTCACCGATTAGGCATTGTTTTCTATATAGAGGGAGCAAGTAGCTACAAGTAGTACAGTGGGCCTTTAAGTTTTCCTCTGGTGTGAATGACTTTCTTACCCTCTGGGCCTAACATCAGGCAATGATCTGTTGAGTGCTATCCTATCGCTGGCCATCAAGTTGAATTCATTGATGGGCCATAACCGCTCAGACTCCGCTTTCCCCTCCGGTTCTATAATAACGGGTTTGCCCATCTCGCCCGGGCCATCTAAATTTACAGGCTTTGGTATCTCTGAAAGAAGAAATAGGGAGAAAATCAGTTAATAAGCGTATTCTAATATCTCATTCAAAGAATTATGAAATATCATATCAGTCGGAGTCCATAAGGATAATATCCTTCACCAATAAAAATGGAACAAGATTTGTAAAAACAATTAAAACTAAATATTATAACGGATAATAAGAAATGCAACTGACAGTGGCAATGATTTTATAATCGATGATTTAATCCCATTTCTCCTCCCAGGAATAGTTATTCAATATTAAGAAGTTTTTGTTTAAAAATCTACAAATGGAAATTACCGGACTACCCTACCGGTACAGTGTGTCTGCATTTTTCAAATATTACAGTGGTATTGTGAGTCCTCATAATCCAGTAAAACCTGTATATAAAGACCACTCAAAGGAGACAAGAAATACTGTCTTTATATTTATAGGCAGCTGGCCTTTATGTACAGGTTCATTTTGATAATACACATTTCAATGCAACTCTCTATCCAAGGGAAACAGAAAATGTGGGCTTTACAGACAGGTGGGACATGTATGTATTACAGGTGGGCTGTCTATCTACATGTAGGTAGTCAATAAAAGCAGGTTTGATTGTACTACAAAATTGTGCAGGAGTTTCATTGCTAGTGCCGTTTTAATAAGAACATTCCTTCGAGTTCAAATTTGTACAAATCTCATTTGAACAATGTTGAACCTCAAAATAATGCTTGATCACTATTAATTATTTACTCAATAAAACCTCCCATTTAAATTAAGAGCTTCCATGTCCTGTGCTCGCATCACAGAAAATTTATGTCTTTGGTAATAGCACAGCTGTGGTCTTGATAGAGACGTGATGTAGCTAAACCCTTCATGAATGCTTAATCCATTACCATGGTAACCGGTCTGTGTACTTGCGTAAATTGCCATCATGTATCTCTTCTCCCACAAGCCATTGAGCACTGGAGTCTATACATTGATTTTTGATTGCTCGGCAATACAAAGAAGCTTTTAAATAATGCATGAACACAAGCGTACATGTACAACCAACCGAACACAATTTTAGTTTAGTTAGGGTACGAAATGCATGAAGAGGCAGGAGGAAAAAATACAAGGGGGCTCGGGGCGAGTTTGCCCCCGAAATGAAGATGTGTACAATTATAAAAGCAAAAACAAGTTTATACAGGGCACCAATTAATCCCAAAATAGCACTGTTAGAAAACAGAAGTGTATAAATAATGCCTGCGGATGCTTACAGTCAAGTGAGAACATATTGTTTTTAGTTTTTACAGAAGACCAATTATCAAATTATCATATAATTGTAGGAAAATATAAAGAATTCATGACGATGCGTATAATTTAAAGGCAAGAATATTTTGACTTGAGGGTAGCAATCTAAAAACAGTATTATTGTCAGAAAATAGAAGAATGAAGATTCACCCAATGTACCTTGAAACAACTCTACAAGGACAATTTTCAGTTGAAAGCGGAATGATATTAACCAAAACACTCAAGCTGATATTCTAAATTTAGTATAGCAGCATACATGTACAATGTACATGTACATGTAGACCCCTAAAAAAACTTTTTTTTTTCCTTCCATAATTGATTCTCTTCAATTCATCTGCTTTGAAATAGCATACAGAATCTTAAAGCTTTCCTCTTTTTTCTTCAAAATTAAAGATAAAGATCACTTATGGTCATGCGATTGCATTGTGAAAAAAACGTTGTGCAATCTATCAGAAAAGTTTGATCATCTACAGTATAGTATTGGTGTGTACTGCAAGGTTCTGGAATCATCAAAATGATAAGAAATTTGGCCCAGTCCTGGTAAAGTTACAAAGTTACTGTCACAACACATCCCATCCCAGTATAGCTTGGAAAAGCTGCTTCAGGGATTACCTCATCAAGTATCAAGTATCAAGCACTGTACACAGAAAGATGTATATGGGACTACGGGATACGTGCCCGATATCCATCAGGTCCAAATAGATATGATAATTTACCAATTATATCAATTAGTAGGCGTTTTCTCAGCAAAATTTGTATCATCACATACTAGTCAAAACATATTCTCTCACATGATTGGTAATAAGAGCTTCCATTTGATTTTTTAGAGAAGGGGCGTTTCCAAAACTGATCTTTTACCTTTAACATTGCCCTGGCCTTTAAAATCAATTGACCATTCTTTTCATTTCTATTGCATATTCAAAAGTGAAATCAAATTTAATTTCACATTTACATGTACAGGTACGTTTATATCACTTTGGGACAAATAACAATTCACATTTAAACATTGAAATAAAATTGATGATACCTTCTGCTTTTGACATGAAAATTAAACAAGTGTATTGCCAGTTACAAATAAATTTGTGATATTCTAGAATTCTTTTATCCACTAAGAAAATAAATCCTGCATCTTTACAATTTCCCTATGGGGTCAGCTACACTACTGCCTAAAGGTTTTGGCAGCGGGCTGCGGGCGCGGGCAAGCTACTCGCGGGTCGCGTATTTTTTTTGAGTGTCAATTGCCAAAAATGTGAGCAAGTTCGGGCAGATTTCGGGCAGATTTCGGGCAGATTTCGGGCAGATTTCGGGCAGCTTTCGGGCAGCTGAATTGAACGCACGCGCGGAATTTGGGGGAGCGCCCGAACTTCGGGAAGTTCCCGAACTTCGAACTGCTTTGTTTACTTTGTTGCTATGCGCCGTTGCTTTGCGCGCAATGTCTGTGAAAAAAATGCGCATCTGCGTGGAATGCTAGTGCTACGCGGCTTTGTGATGTCATAATGGTTATCTCCAAACGTCACAATAGTCACTCTAACTCGATGTTTTTGTCAAGAAAACAACCATTAAACAGATTTAATTAACATGCAGTGAACGTCTGACGAGTCGGCGTTCTCGAACTCATGTCATTTTGTCCAAGTTAAAATAAACACGATGGAAGGACATAGCTAAAAATTAAATCAATTTACAATTTAAGTATTTAGTGTTGAAGTATTATCACTTATTTTGGTACAGTTGTCGCCTAACTTTTTTTGTCAATTGCGGACTACCGCAGATTTTTTTCTTCTCCAGGCGGCTAATTACAAAATAGACAAAATTAACCGTCTGGTACGAGGATAAATGCTTTGATAAAACCAGGGAGGTGACCCACACGCATCCGGTAACCCTTGCTTCACACGCAAAGGGGGATTGACTGGCGATTTTTACCGGAATCTGGCGAACAGTTTGCCTTTGCTTTTCTTCATCTGGAATCAACCGAAAATATCAAAACATCCAAATAATTATAAAGACTTACTTCAGGGTTCGTACACTTACACATTTTAAAAATTCCATGACTTTTCATGACTTTCCAGAGCAGGATAATGTAAATTTCCATGACCATTTTCAATGATGAACATGTCTTAATTTTAAGCGTACAACTATACATCATCGCAATACTAGAAAGCAAATCACAAAACTATAAGGCGCACCCCTATTTCGAAGATCCCCCCCCCCCAAAAAAAAAAAAAAAAAAAAAAATCAGAAAAAAAAAAAATCTGGAAAAAAAAATCTGTCATCTTTAGTTAAAAAAACAAACATTGTTAGTTGTTACTAGACCTTGGTCTAACTTAATTCACAAGCACTTCAACTGTGCCTCGTATAATGAAAAGTGAAAGTATTTTTCGAACACTGAAATAAGACGCGATCTGATCTGGTTAACAAAAAGCCACCAAAAAAAAGCCAACATTGGTATTTTTGTTAACATCAGATCGGCTCTTATTTCAGTGACAGTGTTAAAAAATACTTTCATTTTATTACGAGGCACGGTTGAAGTGCTTGTGAACTGAGTTAGACCCAGTAACAATGTTGTTTTTAAAACTAAAGATGACAGAATTTTCCTCCGAGTCCAAACAGAAATGTGGACAGGCTAGTTTTCGTGTGGTGATTCGTTATCATACTGCATCATACAGGTGAGTGAGCTGAAGACACGGTAGAGCTTCGGCCGGCAAAGTGCCTTGTGACAGGGCATAATTTATCGAGACTGAAAACAAACTGAAAAAAACCCTCTCTTCCTTTCAAATTAGGAACGTAGTTTAACTTCAAATAGTAGATCCTATTCTTTATTGGCATTATGTAATTCATGTTGAGACACAGAGATTTTTGAAAACCACTAAAAAGTAGCATTTGAGGACTCAAATATCCTGTTCCTGACTATTTAAGGCGCACTCCCGACTTTCGATATTTTGCTGACGGAAAAAAGATGTGCCTTCATTGCGGACGTTAGGGAAAGCAGCAACCACGAGGCTAGGCTAGTTAACTACTGGCTGTATGCTCGTGCTCGCACAATTGACGCCAAATGTGGAATCAAATGCGATTCAGGGTTGCGATATTCGAGTAAAGAGCAACACAATTTTTAAAGGGGTTCTTAAGAAAACACGAGTGGCTCATGATGCATAGTTATTTACATTTAAATTATTGTTTTATGAATATTCTGTGGCCGCTCGCGTGGCCCCTGTCAAATTCCACCAGCCTTCAGCATGGACCTACTACGAACCATCATGATGACAGAGAAAGTGCATGTTACGCAATGTTTACGCCTTTTCTGTTCTTTCTACAAACCGCAGCGGCATGCATGTCTGAAGTGAGAGGGCAACTTCACGAAACAAAGCTTTAGTAAACAAATCAAATTTCTAAAGGGAACCGCTTTGTGTGGAAAAGGAAAGTTATTGCCCAGTCACTGAAGAGATGTTGAGTTGTTCTGATGATACCGATTTATCGATGGTGACCGTAGTGATGATGATGGTGATGATATTGATGGACGATGATGAAAATGCTGACTGTATGTATTGATGGCGATTATAAAAAATGATGATGTAGAGAAACTCCAGCCCCCCCCCCCCCCCACTTCACAAAAATACACACACAAGATAGCATGGCGATAAACAATGAAAATACGTTATAGATGGAAATAAAAATTCGAAAAACGAGTAATACATAAGGAAATAACAAAGAAATACTTGAGGATTGAGGAAAAAATAGAAA